GTTTTGCCAGCTCCGAATCTTTCCGCATCCAAAGTCTGATATTTTAGCTGTCGCTGGAAGTGTGTCCAGAAAACTTAAAACCGTCACTGACTATTTCGGTGGCAGCACGACCAGTGGTGTATCTGCCAGCAGGAGGTGGCTCACTGCATCTGCATTTGTTACTTGGCTTCCCGGACGGTGTTCCAAATTGTAATTACATTACAGCCCATCATTCATTCTGTAGCTATGGGCGACACTGCCTTGTCCTCTTTAAGTAGACCTAGCAGGAGTTTGTGCTCTGTTATTATTACAAATTTGCATCCATAAAGGTATTGGTGGAATTTCCTAACTCCAAATATGACCACCAAACCTTCCCACTCTATCTGGGCATATTTACACTCTGCATTAGCCAAAGTCCTGGATGCCATTTGTTTAAAAGTCACCACAAAGGTGAACCAACCTATTAGGCTTCACAGTCTGTATGCTCCCCATTTCGCAAACTGGACTGTTTGATGATTTCTTTGCTTTCCAGACTCTGATACCTCCCTCTACGTTTGCCCATAAGGCAAACGACACTGGGCGGGCCTTGCAGAATTGTGGAATTGCTTCCTTGTCAACAAGCACATTGTCCTTGGCTCCTTTATAGTCCCTAGACCTTCCTGAAAATCTTCCAGGTATTGAATTCAGACTTCACTGATGTAGCCATTCTTTAATCAAAAAATGTTGAGCCTACCTACGTGAAACTTTCTCAACCAGTTTCACCCTATCAGGCTTGGGCCTGGGCCTTTCACTAAAATCAGTGGTAACTGAATCAGCTGCTCTCATAAGAGTCTGGAACTGAAGTTGCACCCTTAGTTTATAAAGGCTCCCTGGTATAAGTTCTCAGTCTAGCCAAGGTCTTGCGCAAACTTAAGGGTTGGAGTCCAGAGTGAATTTTTTGTTAAAGATTGGCTGTGCGATCGCTGAAACAACAGCACCAGTATTAACGTCCATTAGAACCAAGTGACTATTTAACCAGACATTTACTTTAATTGGTTCTGATTTGGATGTTACTTAGCAATTAAACTGTTCCAAACCAGAGGTAGGTGGACTTTGCAAGGTGTGCACTCTCCTGGATACCGGTCTGCATTCTCTTCCTCCATTTAGGTCTAGTGGGACTCTTTTGCTGTCTCGAGCCCGCATACCGGCAGCAACTATAATGGCTTGTTGGCTCGGATCCTAAAGAAAATTTTAACCATTTGGCCGAGGCTTGGCTTTGTTTTGATGTTTTGCTATGGGCTGACCTAGAGTCCCTCTGTTTAGGATATGTCCTGTGTGAGGCTATGAAAATGCCTTTAATCAAGTGGTGTTCACCAAGCTCAGTCAGTCTAGTGAGTACATCCACTTCCATCTGAGTGCCCTGCAACTGATATGCTCTACTTGCCACATTTTCCAATGATAAAGCCAGTGGTTAGTGCCTGTTTGGAGTCCAGTTGGTCTAGAGCAATAGGCACTTTTGCATGGCTACATCATTAATCCCACAGCACCAAGCAAATTGTCCTTGGGTCCTTGTTAAACCAAAGTCACATGCCTCTGCCAGTCATCTTACCTTGTTATAGATTCCACTGGTTATCGAATTGCCAAGTAAAACTGATAGCGTCTCAGAATTATAGGAGCCTTGGGGTCATAATATTACTTAACTAAATCTATCAACTATTGAAAGGTTTTAATATCTGGTACCTCAGGGAAAGTTAGGTTCCTAATAACAGAAAAAGCTATGGGTCCACAACCTGTAAGGAGAATAACTCGTTGCTTTTCATCTGCCCCAATATCATTTGCCCGGAAAAAATAATGCATTCTTTCCACATGCTGGATCCAGTTTTCAACAGCAGGATCAAACGAGACAAACTTCCCAAATAATGGTATGATGCTAGAAATTCCTCCCCCATCTCAAAGACAACTGTTGCCAGCAAATTTCTTCAGGAGCATGCTTTTCTCTCGTCGTCACTGAAGTAACTCCACAGAGGCTGGATTTCCACCATCATGTCACCCTGTATTTACACGTGGAGCATCATTGACACTGATCCAGCTTCCTCAGAGCCAGCTCTCAGAGTGAACAGAATCTCTGACATTCCTCTTTTTATCTGCCATCCAGGGCTCCCTGATTGGAGCAGATCAGTACTGTATTAACTCCTTGCTGTGTGAAAAAGCTTTTTCTCACTTCACATCATGCTTTGTTTGCACGTCACTTCCAATTCTTGCCCTCTTGTTCTCTTTTGTTATTACAAGTAGAAACAGCTTATCCCTATCTACTCTTTGAAAACCCCGATCAGATCTTCCCCAGGTAGAATAGTCCTTACTACTAAATCTATCCTCATAACTGAAGTTTCTCTTGTCTGAAAATATTCTAGTAAATAGCTTCTTCACTCTCTCAAATACAGTTACATATTTTCTATAAAGTGGCACTCAGAAGCATTATTGGGCCTTGGGATTACTGATGCAGTAACATCACCAACCCACCCCTGTCTCCCTTAGAACCCTGTCCTTTGCGAAGAGAAATAACTTGTCCATGCATGGTGCATTTTTCAACTGAACAAAAACTTGGGTCAATCTTTTCCCATTCATTTCCCATGGCGGTGGCCTACCAATCAGAGCTAACTGATCAAGTTTAAATTTAAACAAAAGCTTAGCAGTTAATTGCTCCCTTTTGCATTCTCCCTAGCAAAGCCTGTACCCGAGTTTGCTTGCCAACCAATCAGTACTTTCTACTGAAGCAGTATAAATTGCTATTTCCTTTGAGATTTAGTATTTTTGTGATTATATCCAGATATATGCAAGTTAAAGTTTCAGCAGTCAAGGCTGAATTATATGTTTTTTCGGCTATATCCAAGTTGTGTCAAGCTTTTTAAAGGGATTCCCATAGCGAGGCCAAGTGGAATTTCTTGTTGTATCTTAACTAACATTGACTAACTATTTTGCCCTTTGGTGTCCCTCAAAGCTGATTCTGGCTGCATTTTAGCACACGCTGTTCCTGGACTCACCAGAGATCCTGGAATTTATTCGCATTCCCTGTGCCCAATCAATCTTTAGAGGGCTGTCCTACACCCTGACAAGCATAGATCAGTCTAGAGCTACTCTGCACAGCTCTTGATATAGGCCCCGGTCATGGTAGGCAGAGAAAATTGATGTTCCCAATTATGGGCAGAGACTCGGAATTCAGGCTAGATGAGGTGGTACAGCGAAAGCGTGTCCTGTTCCCCTAGGATTGGCAGTGAAATCTATGACACCTGGCCATGCCAGCCTGGTCTGAATTTGCCATTGTCTCAACCCATCTATAGAAAAGCTCAACACTGAAAACAAAATAGTCAACGACCTTCTCCACTCTGCCAGCTTAAATGTCACTATCTCCTTTCCAATACCTCACACTCACTCTCTCTCAGCTACTGTACCCACCTCCCATCAAGGCTCATGCCTAACCACTCTCATCAATGCCTACAACATCTACTGAGGAAGGGCCACTCGACCCGAAATGTTAAATCTGATTTCTCTCCACAGATGCTGCCAGATTGCTGAGCTTTTCCAGCAATTTCTATTTTTGTCCCTGCAACATCTACCCTCACTCAATGTCACCCCCAGTGTCTTTGCTGCAGCATTGCAATGATCAGTACCGATGTAGCCTGAGGTGCAACATTGAACTGCAGAAGGATCCTGTACGTGGACTGGAGATGTGCCAAAAGAAACTGGCACATGTTGGATGCCAGTGACTGTGGTCATGGGGTGTGTGTAGTTTGTGCCATTGGAGTGTGCCCTCAAATTCTGGTGCTCTTTGTCCATCATGGAAGTCTTTCAGAGCAAGCAGCAGGCTGAAGTCATCAAGTACCCGCTCTGGTTTCCAGGTCAACGTTTTCTCGACGTCTACCTTGTTTGGGGAGTTTGATAAGGTAGAAAACTGATTATTAATGAGGTGATTTAAATTACTGCAGATGCTGGAGTCTGTACAGAAAACAAAAGTTCCTGTAAATCACAGCGGGTCAAGCAGTATCCGTGGAAAGAGAGCAAGCTAATCAGAAGAGTCATCTAGACTTAAAATGTTAACTTGCTCTGTCTCCACGGATGCTGCTTGACTCGCTGTGACTTCCAGCAATTTTTGTTTTCAGTATTAATGAGGTGAGTTGAACTATCAACAAGATATTTAACAAGCTTTAATCATCATCAATTGGCAACTCACTGATCCCTAATGAGCATTTCACCATGCTGCTTGTGAAAAGTATAAAGGATGGAGGGAGGTGATCTGCACATTGAGCCTCATCAGACTTTTGGTCTGATTCTGCTCCACATCCAGGTTATCCAGATCCTTATTTCGTTCTGTCCAATGTCTCTTCTGGAGATTGATACTTACAAGGAAAAATTAAACATGCTGCAACCCTTCTCTAGAAAAATATCACTGAAGTATGATCTTATAGAGGAATTTAAAGTTCTAAAAGAGATGTTTCCATTTCCAGGGAAGACAATAGCTAGGGGCCATAAATATAAAGTAAGTTATCCCTGAAATGATTAGAGTATACAAAAGAATATCATTACACAGAGAGTGATTAGAATTTAGAAGTCACTACCACAATAAGTACTTGATGCATATAGCTCAGGTATATTTAAGATGTAGCTAGATAAATACATGAGGAAAAAACAAATAGGATATATTGAAGGGATTAGATGAAGTAGGCTGGGGTCAGGTTCATAAGGAACATAAACCACCAACATGGGCTTACCAGTTGGGTCAAATTCTATGTTTTTTCTGCTGTAATACAATGCAATATTCCTTGTTCATTTGCTCATAGACATGAGATACAAGGAATTAAATCACTGCTTTCTTTCATTTGTAGTAATTTTTGTGACAAATTTTATCTCTAGCTCTTTTAGTTGTTTGCTTTCTCTGAACAAAAATTGTTTTGTCAATTCAAATACCTTTCTTGAAGATCAAAGCCCCTTAAAATAACATTGAACCATTCTAGTTACATACAGTCCTGGCCTTCCTCTGTTTTCAGATTGAAAGAACAAATAGTGGAACACCTTTGAATGAAAGCAGGGGTAAAGGCATCGACTGTGCTGCACTCAGTGCTATGGTACAGCTGGCACAAATCCTAGTCGGAGTTGGTGTTGGAACCTTGGTAAATTTGGCTGGCACTGTAAAGGTTGTTGTGATTACTTCATCTGCCATCTCTTTATTTGGTTGTTGCTTTGTTGGATTGTTTGTCCAATATGATCAGTAAGAACACCACTAAACAGTGTAAATACAGCAATAATTTTTTTTGAAACTTGGTGAATTGTTATATTCTGAATCTAATGAATCATTAATGTGCCTTATATTCAGTTTCCTCCATTAATTCCAGCAGGCCATTTCTCTGACATAGGGAGGTGATCCTGTAAGATTTGAGTTCTTCCTGATGGTTTCTATGGGACTTATTCTTCATTGATGTATGTGTGGCAAAGATAATTTAAGGAACTACAGCAGACATCCGGGGTAGTGAGTATAAAACTGAGTTGTACTGGCTAGGAAAGCAAAAGGAAAGCCAAATTGCCTAGATTCACGATCCTGATAACATCCTGCATGTTTTTATTGAAAAAATACATGGTCAGCTGCATGAACACTCTCTCAGAGATACCAAGAACTATAGATACTGGAGTCAGAGACAACACAGTATGGAGCTGGATGAACACAGCAGGTCAGGTAGCATCAGAGGAACAGGAAAGCTGATATTTTGGGTTGGGACCCTTCATTTGCTGAAGAAGGGTCCTGACCCAAAATGTCAACTTTCCTACTCCTCTGATGCTGCCTGACCTGCTGTGTTCCTCCAGCTCCATACTGTGTTGTCTCATGAACACTCTCTCAGACTGATTCCCTGGTGTGGTGCTCTGGACATGAGTAATACTGTTTATTTATTCCTGACATGTGGGGTTCACTGACTAAGATTTATTGCTCATCCCTAATTGCCCTTGCAAAGGTGATAGTAAGAAATTACAGAGCTTTGAGAAGCAGAACGATCTGAGTGCCCCAGTGCATGAACTTCAAAAGGCTAATATACAGGTACAGTGAGGAATTAGGAAAACAAGTGGAATTGGCTATAAAAATCAGGAGGTTTAATTTAATTAATGTTTACTAGACTAATTCATTTTCTTTCAGGACAAAGGAACCAATTTTATTGGCACCCCAGTCTGCCCACCAGAGCTCACTGTGACTGTAGTGAACACAATTAGCATAGTGCACTGGTATTGCAGTGCCTCTCTCTGGCATTACCTCCCCAGGGACAGCATAAAACAAAAGAAAAGTGCTTACAAAAATCCAAAAAACATGCACATACTGCTGAAAGGGAAATATACAAAAGACCACCAAAGGGCCACAAAGCAACTTATAAGAGTGACTAAAAGGGCTTATGAAAGGTCAGGGACATCAGGTGGCACAATAGCTCAGTGGTTAGGACTGCTGCCTCACAGCACCAGGAACCTGGGTTCGATTCCATATTCAGATTGACTATGTAAATTTGCACATTCTCCCAGATCTGTGTGTGTTTCCTTTGGGTGCTCCTGTTTGTTCCCACAGTCCAAAGATATACAGGTTAGGTGGATGGCCCATAGTATCCAGGGACGACCAGGCTGGTGCATTAGCCATAGGAAATGCAGAGTTATGGGGGTAGTGAGCCTGGGTGACTGCTCTTCAGAGCATCAGTGTGGATTCAAAGATTGCTTCTACACTGTAGAAATTCTATGATCAAAATCAATGAGAAGGAATGTTATAGCTCCATAAAGGGAAAGTGGGTGGTCAGGAGCAATGTTGGCCCACTAAAGACTGAACGTGTTGTCAATGAATATAGACATGTTGAATAATTACTTTGCCTACAGTAGAAAAAAAGGATAGCTTGCTGGGAATCCTGTGGAATTTAATAGTGGGTCAGGAACAGGGTCTGAATAAAATTAACATAAGCAAAACATCGCTAATAAGGAAATTAATGGAATTAAAGAATGACAAATCCCTGAACCTGACAGTTTCCATCCAAGAGTGTTAAAGGAAATAGGGGAGTATATTGTAGATGCCCTAACTATGATCTTTCAGAGTTTCCTAGATACAGCAATCACCTTCCAGATTGAAAAATTGCATATATCACTCTATTGTTTAAGAAAAGGAAGACCAGGGAATTACAGACCAGTTAGCTTAATATCTGTGTTAGGGGAATTGTTTAATTTTAAATATGAGATAAATATTTGTTAAGTAAACGTATTGAAAGATATGGGCAAAGGCAGGTACATGGAGTTAGGCCTCAGATCAGCCATGATCTCATTGAATGGTGGAACAGGCTGAAGGGACTGAATGGCCTATTTCTGTTTCCATATCCCCACATCTACACCTCAACTGCCTAGAAGGTCAAGTTTAACAGGCGTTGCCTGCAAATTTCCCTCCAGGTTACGCATCATCCTGCCTTGGAATTATATTACAAATTCTCCACCAGCACTGACCCAAAATCCTGGAACACTCTACCTCTTATCAGAAATGTACTTTCACTATCAGGCTGCAGCAGGTCAAGAAGGGAGCTTACCACACTTTCACAAGGCCAGCTCTGGACAATAAATGGGCAATAAATATGGCCTTACCAAAAAAACTCATTTCCCAGAAATTTATATCATCCCCAATAATTTACATTGAACTTTAGGAGAACATCATTCAGGACCAGAGTTTGATACAAAACCATATGCAATAGTTCTATACAGTATTTTAGAAATATATTACTGAACCAGAATTTTGCAAAGGGAAACAGTCAAAATATTTGACCTGATTAATTTCTATTGTTATTTATAAACATGTTACAGGATTGAACAATGTTCAATGTACATACAAAATGGCACAAAGGTCTTCTCTTTTCCACTCACTCTTCCCCACACCACTTTTCAAAAACTAAAGAAGTTTTTTTTTTCAGAAAAAAAACTTTATTTTAAAAATTGACGAGAAGTATCACTTTCAAATTTAGACTTTTGCCAAGCCTTTTAACAAATAATGAATCTAACCTTATCAGTGAGCAATGGTGATAATGTGTGCAATTGTTTTAACCCACAATATATGCACCTGCAAATATTATGTAACTCATTGAATCTTCAACTGTATTGTAACATGATCTGAGAATGGTTTTAAATGTTGAACAACTTAATAAAAGAAAGGACTTTAAAATCAAAGGCTGGAGTACATTATAATGTCAGCAGGAATCTTATGAAGCAGGTATTATCTGTCAATGACTTCTCCGGGGCAATTTTCTACCCCCTGCTGAAGCCTGATCCCTTGCTGGAGTATGGGCTCATGATATTGCCATGTTCTTGTATATTGCTGAACCAACATGACCCTTGACAGCTATTATCAGCTAGCTGTAATGTTATAACTAGATGTTAAAACTAGGCCCCTTCCTTTCTACACAAATCTTTTACATGTGAAGATTTTGAACAGGAAGATTCTTTAAAAATTTGTTTCTGGAATACGGGCATTGCAGGCTCAGGCAAAATTTATTGCCTTTGTCTAATGCCCTTGAGAAGATAGTGGGTGGCTGCATTCTTGAACTACTGCAGTCGTTAGGTCGTAGGGACACCCGCAGTACTTTCAGAAAGCAATTTCCAGGATTTTGACACAACAGCAATGAAGGAATATTGCTTCAAGTCAAGACTCTGCGGTTTGGAGGATAACTTGCAGATGATAGCATTCTTATGCATCTGCTGCCTTTGTCCTTCTAAATAGTAGAGGTCTTTGATTTGGAAGGTGCTGTCTAAGGAACCTTAATGAATGCATATGATAATTGTTCGGTAATAATAAGGAATAAAAGCTTGAGTTGATTTTTGCCTTTTCTAACAAAGAGGCTCAAGCCAACTGAACTATACTGGCCGTGTATTAGCCCAAGATCAGCTTACCATAAGATCAAGGTTTAAGTTTGATTGATATGGTTCAGTTATTGACTAGTCAAACACTTTGAGCGCAATTGGGAGATTGGGTTAAGAACTCATTTGGCAAAATTACATTCTACGCTGGTGTAATGAATTGAACATAGGAGGTACAAGATGAAACAAACCTTTCAGTCTAATTAATCTGGATTTGCTCTCCATACAAAGCATGATCCTAATAAGAATTAATTACCTTTGTTTTCTCCCTGTTCTTGGATCTATCTGATGTCGTCTTGAATTTTGACATAGTTTCTGCCTTAATCGCTAACACCAAAGTGAATTCCACAGTTCCCTCTGTAAAGAAGTCACTGGTGCCCATTTCTAAATCTCTCACATTTAACATGCCTTCTTTGCTCCTCATTCTTAAAATAACTGAAACTAATCTAATTCTGCCCAACCTGTTCAATTATGTAATAACTTTAAACACTTACATCACATTTTTCAGCCTCTCTAAATTTAATATATTTTTAAAAAATATGCAGTTTTATGCTTAATTTGTCCTTATTATGCCTGAATAACTTCATACCAGGAACATGGCCCATTTCCTTTGATATAAAGTTGTGTTTTCTCAGATCCCCTGGTCAAATTCAACAGGTCGGGAAAAGTGTCTAATATTTGAAACTGAGGTGTCTGATTTTCAAAATGTATTTAACAGCAAAAAGGGTCATAGTCACAGAGACTCATGCAAATGGATCATAAATACTGTGCTAATCTCCAGCAGAAAAGCCACTACAGCATGCACTACAGTGATCATTAACCATTACTGTTTGCACATCAATTGTTACTTCTACTGTATTACTGTTGCTGCAGAGCACATATGCTAACCATTGTATTATGTTTCAACATTTTTCATTTTTAGTGATGTTATGAAAATAACAGCTATGCAATTAGAATTATAAAATGCTGCATAAGAAAAATATACTACTCAGCTCATAAGTCACGAGATAGAATCATTCTCATTTCCATTCTTGTGCTCCATCATCAGGGACATTTTCACTTAGTTCAATAGCATAGGCTGCCAACTCACTTTCACCCATTTTATATTGTCTCATAACATAAAATGCCTCCATTATAGTATTTAATATCGCTGTTTGTTTTCCAAATATTGCTTATTTGCATATAAACTAACTTAGATGGAGGCTGCTTCAACAACCAGAATCATTGGGAGGAATGTTAAAGAAGCCTGAGTGACATGGGCTATATTGAGATGTGTGGCAGAATTGGATGAGAAATCCCTCGACACCAATCTTGATGTCAAGACCATCTTGCTCCATTGAACACTTTTCACAAGCGGCATGGA